GTTAGCCAGGATGGTCTCGATCTCCTGACCTCGTGATCCGCCCGTCTCGGCCTCCCAAAGTGCTGGGATTACAGGCTTGAGCCACTGCACCTGGCCTGTTAGCTTGTTTAAAAAAAAATTGAGAGCTAGAGTCTTGCTCTGTTGCCCACACTGGAGCACTGTTGCGTAATTGTGGCTCACTCCAGGTTCCAGACTCCAGCCGCTGGGCTCTAGCAGTCCTTCTCTGCCGCCCGAGTAGCTGGGACTCGACTTGCGTGCCACCACACCTTGCTGATTTTTTGTAGAGATGTGGTCTCGCTGTATTGCCTAGGCTGGTTTCAAACTCCTAGGCTCAGATGATCCTCCTGCCTCAGCCTCCCAAAGCGCTGGGATTATAGGCGTGAGCCACCGCACCCAGTCTGTTAGCCTCTTTTTTTTTTGATGGAGTCTCGCTCTGTTGCCCAGGCTGGAGTACAGTGGCACTATCTCGGCTCACTGCAGCCTCTGCCTCCCAGGTTCACGCCATTCTCCTGCCTCGGCCTCCTGAGTAGCTGGGATTACAGGCACACGCCACCACACCCAGCTAATTTTTTTATTTTTAGTAGGGACTGGGTTTCACCGTGTTGGCCAGGCTGGTCTCAAACTCCTGACCTCATGATCCACCTGCTTCAGCTTCCCAAAGTGCTGGGATAACAGTCATGAGCCACCGTGCCCAGCCAGCCTCTTTTATATTTGTCTTTTTTTTTTTTTTTTTTTTTTGAGATGGAGTTTCACTCTGTTGCCCAGGCTGGAGTGCAGTGGCACAATCTCGGCTCACTGCAAGCTCTGCCTTCCGGGTTCACGCCATTCTCCTGCCTCAGCCTCCCGAATAGCTGGGACTACAGGCACCTGCCACCACACCTGGCTAATTTTTTTGTATTTTTAGTAGAGACGGTGATCTGCCCGCCTCAGCCTCCCAAAGTGCTGGACAGGCGTGAGCCACTGCGCCTGGCCGCTCTTTTATTTGTTTAGTCTTTCACTAGCTGAAGAGCTAGAACTTTTCTAGTTCTTACCCTTCTCCCACTGCGTGTCTCCCCTCCCATCTGTATGTGAATGTATGTTGTGAGGTTTTATCCATTTAATATTATGCTCCTAAGATTCGTCCATATTGTGTGTGCAATGGTGGTTCATTCATTCATTCATTCTCATTGTATAAAAGGTTCCAGACTTGGTGCGGTGGCTCACGCCTGAGACTCCAGCTCTTTGGGAGGCTGAGTCAGGAGGGGATCGCTTGAGGTCAGGAGCTCAAGGCCAGCCTGGGCAATGTGGTGAGACCCCATGTCTACAAAAAATTTAAAAAATCAGCCAGGCATGGTAGCTCATGCCTGTAGTTCCAGCTACTTGGGGGACTGAGGCAGGAGGATGTTTGAGCCCAGGAGGCCAAAGCTGCAGTGAACCGAGATCACACTGCTGCACGGCAGCCAGGACGACGGAGCGAGACCCTGTCTCAAAAAGAGAGAGAGAAGTTTCCATTGTATGAATTATTTTTATCGTATGTCATTTTCGTTTTCTATTTTGAGATGGAGTCTTGCTCTGTCGCCCAGGCTGGAGGATAGTGGTGCCATCTTGACTCACAGCAAACTCTGCCTCCCGGGTTCAAACGATTCTACCACTTCAGCCTCCCAAGTAGCTGGGATTACAGGCGCCCGCCACTATGCCTGGCTAATTTTTGTATTTTTGGTAGAGATGGGGTTTCACCATAGAGACAGGGTTTCGCCTTGTTGGCCAGGCTGGTCTTGAACTCCTGACCTCAAGTAATCTGCCTGCATCGACCTCCCAAGTGCTGGGATTACAGGCGTGAGCACCTCGCCTGGCCTATCATTTTCATTAGGAAAAGTTTGTAGGTTGATGGGTCCTTGCTGCCTTTTTTTCCTGCCTTCTGCTGGAAAGAAGCTGAGGCTTGAGGAGAAAGGAGGAAGAAGGAACTTTAATGCTTTGGCTGAATATATGTGTTTAACATTTTGTCCTGCAGGTGGTCCTCTGTAAATGGGGTGAATTACAATATTTGAGGAGTCTTCCTTACACCATCTCTGAAGGCAGAGATATCACACAGTCTCGGGGCCCCGGCTTCCCGGAGAGCTCACTGACGAAGTCCCCTGAGCCAGAGCTGAGTCACTGCTGTGTCCAGCGGTCTCCGGTTCTTGCATTCTCTCCCATCCAGCCTCTCACACTGACCCTGGTGTCCCCAGCGCAGGCCCGTCCACATCTCACTATTCACATCTCAGCATCAGCGTTCACACTGTGAGTAACGCCCTGGCTCTTCTCCAACCTGGTTTTCCAGATAAACATTGACGATCTCGAGGATGACCCTGTGGTGAACGGGGAGAGGTCCGGCTGTGCGCTCACAGACACCACAGCACGAGGGAACAAAGGAAGGGCTCGGCGCGGAAACACAGAGAGCAAGACGGATGGAGATGTTGCCGGGACAGCGCCCCCAGAGCAGGTGGGGGGCTGAGTGGTGAGGAGGGGGAATCAGACGGGAGGGTTTCCAGGCACCCAGCCACATGTATCCCGTGCTGTGATTTTCCTTGGAGGTGTAATTTTCGGAGTTCAATTTTGGTTAACAGCTAGTTACTCCCAAATTTACTTGGGAACCTTGATGAGATTTGTATGAAATGTGTAAAGGTCTGAGGCCTGTCTCCTGCGTTCAGGAGAGTCTGCGCCTGCCCAGCAGTGTGTGTAATGACACGTGTGTTCTTCCTGACTGTGCCTGAGTGTCTGCTTGGCTGAGTTGTGGATCTGGGTGCTGGTGTAAGTGAACTTTGAAGAAACGTGCAGGTCAGGTCGATGTGGGACGGGCAGAGATTCAGACAACCTGCTGCTGCGCTCCACAGCACAGGAGAGGGGCCCTGAAAGGAGAGCTTGTGTTCATTTCTCCAACATGTGTTCTTGGGGGCCTTCCTGGGTGCTGGGAACGCACCTTCGCCCCCCAGGAGCCTCTGGTTGAGAGGGCAACGTAGAGGTGAAGTGACAAGTGGGTCCTGCCTTGAGGCTCGGGGTCCTGGGGGCTTCCCGCGGAGGCTTTATGCTGTTAGAAGGGGTTGGCCAGGTGCGGGTGAAGGGGAGCACAGGTGCAGGTTCGGTGTGAGGCGGCGGGGGCACAGCAAGGCCCTGGTCTTCAGGGAGTGGCCGACAAAGTGAGAAATGAGAGCTGGACCAGGTCAGAGCCCTGTGAGCCATTGTGAGGCTGGACACTAGAGGGCCCTGGGGACTCTGTAGCACAGCCCAAGGGACGTGAGAGCAGGGGGCTCGGAGAGGTGGGAAGGTGCCTGCTGGAGGGAAGAAACTGAGTCGAAGGGACTTCCAGGACACGGAGGGAGGGGGGACTGCTTAGGTGAGGGTGGAGTCACGCTTGCTGCTTTAATTCTTAGTTCTTAAGATTTACTTCTCGTTCCACTGATTAAAATGTGTTCCTATCATTAGTCTAATGCAAGTGGCAAACTCCGGAAGAAGAAAAAGAAACAGAAAAATAAGAAAAGCAGCGCAGGAGAAGCATCGGTATGTGAGTCGGGCCTGGCTCTGCTTTCTCCCTCTGCCTGACTCCCTCCGCGTTCTCTTCTGGCGTTTTTCAAGGTGGTGGTGAAAGAAGTTTACTTAGTATTTTCATTCCTTCCTATTAGGAGTGTAACTAATTAAGAGATCAGAGAAAAAGAAAAGGAAAAACTGCTTGCTAAATTCTGCTTCCTGTTTTTACCCTTGTTCCTTGGGGTCGCGCTCTGCTCTGTGTCTCTGGGGGAATGTGTGATCTCGTGAGGACGTCCCTCCTCGTCCTGGTGCTCCTGTGGCCCGCGGGGCGCTTGCTCTTTGCCCTGACATCTGTGCCATGCTTACGGGTTAATTGGATGGTGGGCATAAAGCCCACCACTGGAGCTAGTCTGTCATCAGAAAAAAATACGTTTTCATCATTGCCCTTCGTCCCCGTCTGAGTGTGTCCTGAGACGAGAGTGTCGCTAAGTCCCAACCCTGTTCGCCTGAGGAGGCGAGCACACCGGGAGGACGTGGGATGCCCAGTTTTTTCTAGGGCCCTTCTGGCTCCGTGATTCTGTCTATGCTGAGCGCTTCTTAGAAAGCATCTCCTCTTTTTTCTAAATGCGTGTATGGTACATAGTGTTTGACTTACACTGTCCTTTAGGAAGGAAATACAATAGAATAGGTCTCTTTTAAAATAAGTAATTTCGTTATTGTTACAACATTTAAAGTAATGTCAGTGTGGTAATTAAGAGGTTGTTTTGGGCTTTTAGGAAAACGTACTGGAAGATATCGATCGCATCCTGGAGAGGATTGAGGACAGCACCGGGTTGAACCGTCCGGGCCCCGCTCCCCTGAGCTCCAGGAAGCACATTCTCTACGTGGAGCACAGGTGCGGCCCCCGCCCTTCGCTGCCCCCGCCCTTCCCTGCCCCCGCCCTTCTCTGCGGCTGCCACAGAGACTCCGTGGGAGGAAAAGGTTCTCTAAAAAAGGAAAAAGAAAATGTACTATCTTTATTTAAAAATAATATGAGTTTATTGGCTGGGCGCAGTGGTCAAGCCTGTAATCCCAGCACTTTGGGAGGCCAAGGCAAGCGGATCACGAAGTCAGGAGATCGAGACCATCCTGGCTAACACGGTGAAACCCCGTGTCTACTAAAAATACAAAAAATTAGCCGGGCGTGGTGGTGGGTGCCTGTAGTCCCAGCTACTCGGGAGGCTGAGGCAGGAGAATGGCGTGAACCCGGGAGGCGGAGCTTGCAGTGAGCCGAGATCGCACCACTGCACTCCAGCCTGGGCGACAGAGCAAGACTCGTCTCAAATAATAATAATAATAATGAGTTTATATTAATCATTTAGGAAATAGACTGGGCCCCATGGCTCACGCCTGTAATCCCAGCACTTTGGGAGGCTGAGGCGGGCAGATCACCCGAGGTCAGGAGTTTGAGACCAGCCTGGCCAACATGGAGAAACCCCGTCTCTAGTAAAAATACAAAATTAGCCAGGCATGGTGCACACCTGTAATCCCAGCTACTGGGGAAACTGAGGCAGGAAAATTGCTTCAACCTGGGAGGCAGAGGTTGCAGTGATCTGAGACTGCGTCACTGCACTCCAGCCTGGGCAACAAGCAAAACTCTGTCTCAAACGAAAAAAGAAAAAAAAAATACAAACATTAGCTGGATGTGGTGGTGGGTGCCTGTAATTCCAGCCACTCAGGAGGCTGAGGTGGGAGAATCTCTTAAACCCAGGAGGCAGAGGTTGCAGTGAACCAAAGGTCATGCCACTACACTCCAGCCTGGGTGACAGAGCAAGACTCTGTCTCCCAAAAAAAGGAAATAGGAACAAGGAGGAAAGGAAGTCATCCGTATTTCAGAGGACTTTTAGCTTTACTTCTTACGTATCTGAGAGAGTTCCTTCTTTTTCTTTTTTTTAAGAGACAGGATCTCTCTGTCACCCAGGCTGGGGTGCAGTGATGTGATCATAGTCCACTGCAGCCTCGACCTCCTGGGCTCGAGAGATTCTCTTGCCTCAGCCTCCCAAAAGGCTGGAATTAACAGGTGTGAACCACCACGTCTGGTCAAAAGTTCCTCCTTACCTGTCACCCTTGCATGACTGTTCCTCTCTGGGTCTTCTAGATGCTTAACGAATTGCTGTCTCTACTTCAGACATTATCGCCAGCTTAGAAAAGACAGTGCCCTGGAGTCAGTTAAGACACAGTAATGTGGTCTCAGGGTGCGTGCGCTGCCCTGACCCAGCCTCAGACACAGATGTGTGTCACACCCAGGGCCTCTCGACACAGCGCTCACCGAGCGCCGTCGCAGCAGAGTAACCAGCGGCTTCCCTGTGGTGCCCACAGTGGCGAGGCCTCAACCATGGATGGGGTGGTGATTTGAAAGAAAGGAGGCCTGGAAGCTGCCTTTCAAGCCAAAAATCCGTTTTCTTTCCTTGATTATTAGGTGGCTTTCTGAAATTTTTGGAATCATTGTAGAACATAATTTCATGTTTCTTTCTAAAATTTTCAATTCCCTAGACACTTGAATCCAGACACAGAACTGAAAAGGTATTTTGGTGCCCGGGCAGTCCTGGGGGAACAAAGGTAAGGTCCACACTAAAACACTAAACTGTCTTCTCACAGCTGCTTCATTCCTTCTTAGACTCTTGACGGGGTGGTGTTCCCGAAGCCAGTTAACCCCTGAGGGAGAATATTGGAAGCCAGAGTCACACATAACCCTTAGAATTGGGATCTGAAAGGGAGTCCACAGATTGTGTATAACCTTGTCTGTGACTGTGGGTTGTGGAGATACCCAGAGTCCTTGGTCTCCATCCCCAGTGTAAGATTTCAAAAGCCAGACTGGATGTGGTGCTTACGCCTGTAATCCCAGCACTTTGGGAGGCTGAGGCGGGTGGATCACCTGAAGTCAGGAGTTCGAGACCATAGTGAAACCCTGTCTGTACTAAAAATACAAAAATTGGCTGGGCATGGTGGCGCATGCCTGTAATCCCAGCTACTTGGGAAGCTGAGGCAGGAGAATTGCTTGAACCCAGGAGGCAGAGGTTGCAATGAGCTGAGATCACACCACTGCACTCCAGCCTGGGCCACAAAGTAAGACCCCGTCTCAAAAGTTTTCAAAAGCTGTTAAATTTTGAGATTCTAGTTTTGTTGCGGTGGCTTATGCCTATAATCCCGGCACTTTGGGAGGCCGAGGCGGGCAGATCACCTGAGGTCGGGAGTTGGAGATCAGCCTGACTAACATAGAGAAACCCTGTCTCTATTAAAAATACAAAAAATTAGCCGGGCGTGGTGGTGCATGCCTGTAATCCCAGTTACTTGGGAGGCTGAAGCAGGAGAATCGCTTGAAACCGGGAGATGGAGGTTGCAGTGAGCCAAGATTGTGCCATTGCACTCCAGCCTGGGCAACGAGAGTGAAACTCCATCTCAAAAAAAAAAAAAGATTCTAGTTTTGCTTCTCAGAGCAAAACTAACGTGAAGTTCAGGTTCTGACATAAGTTTCTTTCTTTCTTTCTTTCTTTTTTTTTTTTTTTTTGGAGACAGATTCTTGCTCTGTCGTGCAGGCTGGAGCTCAGAGGTACGATCCCAGCTCACTGTAACCTCCGTCTCCTGGGTTCAAGCAGTTCTCCTGCCTCAGCCTCCCGAGTAGCTGGGATTGCAGGTGCACTCCACCACGCCCAGCTAATTTTTTTTTTTTTTTTTTTT